CTACAGGTTATACGTACAGTTAAAAGTTTACAGGTGTTGTTGAAATTGACAAGAACAGGTTATATATACATTACAAAGATGAATGGTGATGTTGAAATGGACCAGCACATTTTATAGGTAAAGTTGAAAGTTAAAAGGTGTTGATGAAATGGACAAGAACAGGTTATAGATAGATTATAAAGATGAATGGTGATGTTGAAATGGACCAGCACATTTTATAGGTAAAGTTGAAAGTTAAAAGGTGTTGATGAAATGGACAAGAACAGGTTATAGATAGATTACAAAGATGAATGGTGATGTTGAAATGGACCAGCACATTTTATAGGTAAAGTTGAAAGTTAAAAGGTGTTGATGAAATGTACAAGAACAGTTTATAGGTAGAATGAAAAGTTGAAAGGCGTTGTTGAAAAGGACGAGAACAGGTTATAGGTAGAGTTGAAAGTTGAATAGCATTGTTGAAATAAACGAGAATAGGTTATAAGTAGAGTGAAAGTTGAAAAGTGTTGATAAAATGCACAAGAACAGGTTATAATTAGAGTGAAAAGTTGAAAGGCGTTGTTCAAAATGGCAAGAACAGGTTACAACTAAAGAGAAAAGTTAAAAGGTGTTGTTGAAGTGGATGAGGACAGGTTACAAATAGAGTGAAAAGTTTAATAGGTGTTGTTGATATGGACGAGAACACCTTACAGGTAGATGTTTGTTTGTTTTTAACCACAAAGCTATATAATGGTCTATATGCGCTGTGCCCACCACGAGTATCGAAACTCGGTTTTTATAGGTAGAGTGGAAAGTTAAAAGGTGCTGTTGAAGAGGACGAGAACAGGTTATAGGAAGAGTTGAAAGTTGAATAGCGTTGTTGAAATAGAAGAGAACAGATTATAGATATAGTGTAAAGTTGAAAGGTGTTTTTGAAATGGACGAGAATAAGTTAGATATAGAGTAACATTTTAAAAGTGTTATTGAAATGGACGAGAACAAATTACATGTAGAGCAAAAAGTTAAAAGGTCTTGTTGATATAGACGAAAACAGCTTATAGGTAAAATGTTTGTTTGTAAGCACAAAGCTACAGAATAGGCTATCTGGGCTGTGCCAAACACGAGTATCGAAAATTAGTTGTAAGTCAAAGTTGAGTGAAAAGTTGAAGAGTGTTGTTGAAATTGACGAAAACAGGTTACAGGTAGTGTGTTTGTTCGTTTTTAAGCACAAAACTACACAATGGGCTATATGCACTGTGCCCACCACGAGTATCGAAGCTCGGTTTTTAGTGGTGTGTCAAAGTAAAATAAAAAATTGAAAACTGTTTTTTTAAATAGATGAGAACATGTTACAATTATAGTGAAAACTTCAATGATGTTGTTAAACAGGTTACAGGTAGACTGCAAAATTTGAAATGTGTTATTGAAATGGACGGGGACAGATTGTAAGTTGAGGGAAAAGTTGAAAGGGGTTTTTCAAATGAACGAGGATAGGCTATTGGTAGAGTGAAAAGTTGAAAAGTTTTGTTTAAATGGGCGTGAACAGGTAATAGGTAGAGTGAAATGTTAAAAAGTGTTGTTGAAATGGACGAGAACAGGTTATAGGTAGAGTGAAATGTTAAAAAGTGTTGTTGAAATGGACGAGAACAGGTTATAAGTAGAGTGAAAAGTTAAGGTTAAGTGTATAGTTATTAAATTGTTTTAATCCACTTCGTATATCCTCAACAGTTCTTTCCAAATACAATTATCATCAAAGGTTGTTTTAGGTGTAAAATTTATATCTAATATTTTCGGTAGTTTGTGAAGAATGGTTATATTTTTAATGTCTTTATTTTCTGCTAATCAAAAGATCTATTGGAAAGTATAAATTGCATCTTTTGTCATCTGAGTGCCAAGCGAGATCAAAATATGCAAATCAAGTGTGAACCATTTGTTGTTTATTAACCTCACTCTAGATATCCGAATCAAATGTGAACCTATTGTTGTTTATTAACTTCACTCTAGATATCCGAATCAAATGTGAACCATATGTTGTTTATTAACTTCACTCTAGATATCCGAATCAAATGTGAACCTATTGTTGTTTATTACGCTGATTCCAGCTATCGGAATCAAATATGAATCCTTTGTTGTTTATTACTCTGACTCAAGATATCCGAATCAAATGTGAACCATATGTTGTTTATTAACTTCACTCTAGATATCCGAATCAAATGTGAACCTATTGTTGTTTATTAACTTATTCATATTTGATTCCGATAGCTGGAATCAGCGTAATAAACAACAATAGGTTCACATTTGATTCGGATATCTAGAGTGCATTTGTTGTTTATTACTCTGACTCAAGATATCCGAATCAAATGTGAACCAATTTCTGTTTATTAAGTTGACTAAAAGCATTGTTGTTTATTACGTTGACTCAAGATATCCGAATCAAATGCGAATTCCCTGTTATTTATTATGCTGATTTTAAATACAGTTTTTCTCCTGGATTTCATAGTTGTCTTTCAGAATAAGGATTTTTTTAAACAGCCTGCCAAGCTTGTTGGTGTTTATAATAAGTTAAAACACGTTTATGTTCTTCTTTAAGATGTGAATAATCCACTATTCCAGAGAAATCATCTCTACATTTTTCGTTCTTCAAAGTAACAAACAATTCCTTTGAAAACAAATATTCAAGTCTTTAATAGGTTTCGGGGATCATTTAAAAATTCTTAAGTGTGTTCGGGTATCTTCTCTTCCTTCCCCCCCCTCTCTCCTCACAACACACAAAAAGAAATCAATACCCAAAATGGGGAAGACACGTGTCCAACACCAAATAAATAAAACTTACATGAACATTAATTAACGAAGTTCATCTTGAGCTTCATTATTCTTTCCCTATATATTGTATTCGTAGATCATCTATTTACGTCGTGACATGACCTGCATAGTGAGTTACGTATATTAATCAAACCGTTATCGCATTGATTTTATTGCGTGTTCTTTGCAATTTCACTACACCCGACTATTTAATAATAAAAACAAAATTGTATTTATGAAGTTTAGAACTGTATCCTATGCCCATTATATCGGTTATTGTGTTAGAGGAAAGCAAGGCTCAGTTGATAATATGATTTTTTGCCGTCGCCCATTTTGTTTTTAATTTCAGAAACATAAACATCTATTGTATGTTATATTACTGCTCATTTTAATCTTCATATAAAACCATTTTAACAATTCTTACCTTAGATTATAATTTATAAAAGCTGGTTAACAGAATGATTTTTATAGTCATACAAGTAAGAACTAAAGTAACAAAATTTTGAAAGTTTACGTTGAATTGTGTATTCTGAAGTTAATCATCCTATCGGACGACAAACGTTTATTTCTGGTAGTAAGAATATTGAAAACTTTATTATTGATAAAAGTATTTCAAAAAGTTCAAATACAAAGTAAAGATATTATATTTGTTCGTATTTGGAACATTTTTCTTATATCATTAACTTTAGATATAAAGTTTTGTTTAATTATCAGAGCTAGTTTTGTTAGTCGTTGTTTGATTATAAGAGAGAATTTTGTCAGTCATTGTTTGATATAAGAGCTAGTTTCTTCAGTCATTCGTTAATTATCAGAGCTAGTTTTGTTAGTCGTTGTTTGATTATAAGAGAGAATTTTGTCAGTCATTGTTTGATATAAGAGCTAGTTTCTTCAGTCATTCCTTAATTATCAGAATCAAACAACGACTAACAAAACTAGTCTCTTATAAGGAATTTTGTCAGTCATTGTTT